ATGACATCATACCGAGCTAAACGAATTACTCTCCATTCAATGCTCTCCTTGTATCTACCTATGGATAATTCTACACTCCGTGGTAGTGTTTCTATCACTTCAGTTTGCCCGTTTGGCAATTCAACTTCTTCACTCACGTCCTTCATCAACATCAAACCTAACTTCATAGCAACACTCCTTGATAGAAAATTCTCAGTTGCTCCAGGATCAATTAAAACTCTCACCTTGTGTCCTTCCATGAAACCATCAGTGACAATGAGTTGAGCTTGCTTCTTACTCCTTCCATGAGCTCCCAACCATTGCTTTCTTCCAACCTCGCCTTTTCTTCGCTTTGTAGAACCAGTAAGGCCGCGAGGCAAGATTACTGGTGATCTTCGTTTCCCGAAACTGCTTCCTCCACCTCTTCATACTCTATCCCCTCCATATTGTTGAACGGTCGTCGCTGCATGGGCCGTCCTCCTTGTTGTGTCGGCCGAACTCGACAAAACTTGGCTATGTGGCCCATTCGTCCACATGCATAGCATTGGCGATTGTCACGAACTCCAGCTCCTCTTCGAACCATTCCATTATTTGCATAACCTTCTTGCAAATTTGGAACTCCTTGTCGCCTAATCTCACCTCCAAATCTTGGTGGTGGTCCTCTTGTTGGTGCAAAACCTTCTCTACGTCGAAGGTTTCCCAACTCCATCGGTGTTGGACCAGATGGATCTCTAAAATTGCTCACTGGCTCACCGTGTGTGACACCAAAAGCACCTGAAATTCGTTGAGCAATTGCGATTGCTTCATTCACAGTAGATGGATTGCTTACCATCACCTCCTTTCGAATTCGATCTTTCAAGCCTCGTTTGAACACGTCCAAGGCTTCAGCTCCACTCATATCCATGATAGATACTTGAAGATCACGAAATTCTTCAATGTACTCATGAATACCTCCTTTCTGCTTCAGATCCCACAACTTCATTCTTGCAGTTTGAAGAGAATCCACCGCTTGAAAATTTTGCAGAAGTACTTCCTGCATTCCACTCCACGAAATGGTAGCACCTCGTTCTGAAAGCATTCTCTCCCATGTTGTGTACCATGTGAGAGCCTTATCCGTAAGATAAGATCTCATGAACATTCCTGCAATATAATCAGAAACATGAAAATGGGATAAATGAATATTCATCCTCATAATCCATCCCTCTAACACTCCCATTGCTCTACTCCCTTTGTAAGCTTCCACCTTACAAGATTTTCCCATTCGAAGCAAAAGATTTGCTTGATCTTCAATCTCTTGAAGACGTCTCCTATTTGCCTCTGCTGCATCAATAGGAGTTGGTTCTGGCTGAACTTGGGAAGCTTGAACTTGAGGTTCAACTTCCATCTCTCCAACTCTCTCTCTCTACTTTCTCACTCTCTAATGCAAAGATTTTATCTTCCATGGCTTGCTGCTTGGTATGCCCATCTACTATCGCTTTTCTCAACTCCTTCATCTCTGCCATGATTGCATTGAGAACCTCACCCATATCAATTGATGTTCCCATGCTTTTTCACACTCCCTCTAATACAAAGTGAGTATAATCACTATGTGACCTCTCAACAAAGGAGTCACAAAAGGTGCAGGTGACTCTATCACAGCTCTATAGTACTCCTCTCCATAATTCCTCACAAGAAAATCTCTCCATATCCTCTTCTGTCTACATACTGTTCTAATCTCTACATAAGTGCTGAATCGAACCGGTACAGGTGGTTCGCGATTCAAATCCATGAAACAATCAGTATAGAATGTATATAGTACAATTCCAAGTCTCTCCATAAGTAACTATTGGAAGAATCAGTGGCACTCTTGACTCCATCACTCTAGTCATAAAATCTGCACCCCAACAAGCCACAAGGTACATCCGAAAATGATGTTTCTCCATGCAACGAAGGTGAATATCGAATAGGTTAGGAATTGGCCAGTGCGGTTCTGGATTCCTGTCAATCCCGTCCATATCTGCAAAAACACAATGTCCCCCTTCCACCTCTCTCTACATGCAGATGAATGACCTCTGCCAGGCTCTATACACTCTCAAGACTACACTCCATCATCACTCACTTGCTATTCCATGAGGGGTAATCCACACTCAAGAAAAGAGCAAGGTCGCTCTGATACCATTGTAACACTAGGGTTTAGAGAGAAGTTCACTCGAAGATAGAAACGTAAACTCTGAAGATGAGAGATACCAACAATGGTTCTCCTCTCCCTTATATAGCTCTCACCAACAAGTACAAGGTGATAAGATCTAATCCCCACCATCCATACCACTCCTAGTGGATGGATGACGTGGCGGATAACCCTAACAAGCACACGGATCGCTGACGTGGTGCATCCAACTAACACACTAACTAACACACTCAATCCTTAGCTACAAGCACACGGATTGCTGACGTGGCACTGTCAACTAACACATCCACTCTGTACCTACCAAGTGCGCGGATCGCTGACGTGGCAACTATGACTAGTGCACACTAAAGTATCTACATCAATATTTAGAGTAACCTCTACTTTAGTTCTAACTAACTAAAGATGGTTACAACCTTCCACTTACCTTGTTTATGACAAGTGGGAATTATCTGGTCAAACCACAACTACACATAAACTCTTTTTGAAATGATTGAGATTCGATTTATTGGCTCTAAATTACAAGACGCAATTAGACGTCGCAATTAAAAAATTCTCTGTTTGTCATTATGATTCTAGCTAACTTCTCCAAATCCAAAAATCTACTTTTGTTAATAGGAACGTTTTACACTAGCTAGTGAAAGGTTTGTGTTGCATGAAGCTTGCACTAACTTTACCCACCTACGTTTGATGATGGTAGCGTTCATGGCTTCATCATGCACCTGTAACTTTTCGATCCCAAAAAGTCAAAAATCTATAATTTATCATATCTTTCCATGTAAAAGAAGATGAGTTCAAAAATATCACTGATGGTAAATAGATACACATTCTCAAGTTTTTAACCGTTGCAGCGGGCCTTTTCCACGTAAATACTCATGGCGACGTCAAAATCATGCATGCTTTTAAGCTAATGCGGAGTAGTAGATTTGATACTCAACATAGTCAGATGAAGCGAAAGCTTCATAATTATCTTGGGCCATTTAAACGTAAATCGCCATGGCGACGTCAAAATCATGCATGCTTTTCAGCTAATGCGGAGTACTAAAATTAATATTCAACATAGACAGATGAAGTGAAAGCTTCATAATTATCTTGGGCCCTCTCCACGTAAATCGCCATGGCGACGTAAAAATCATGCATGCTTTTCAGCTAATGCGGAGTACTAAAATTAATATTCAACATAGACAGATGAAGTGAAAGCTTCATAATTATCTTGGGCCTTCTCCACGTAAATCGCCATGGCGACGTCAAAATCATGCATGCTTTTCAGGTTATGCGGAGAAGTAGATTCAATATTCAACATAGTCAGATGAAGTGAAAGCTTCACAATTATCTTGGGCCTTCTCCACGTAAATCGTCATGGCGACGTCAAAATCATGCATGCTTTTCAGCTTATGCGGAGTACTAGATTTAATATCTAAGATCATAATTATCTTGGGATTGCAGCTTTCTGGAGCGTTGCTGATGGTTTTCAGTCGTGTCATGTTCAACAGGAAGCGCTTCTTTTCCTTCGTCACAGAGAAAATGGGTGTGTTTCTTGTTCCTCGATGCATACTAATTAGATGTTGCAGTGGGGGTGCTTCTTCTTCTTCTTCAAGACACGAGATTGAGGTGAACTTCAAGAAATCCCAAAACTGAACACCACGCGTAGCACGCTACCAGATCCGAATCAAAACGAAGAGTCAAGCGTTCCCTGGCAGAAGGCGTAGACAAATTTACCCACTAAAGAGGGGAATGTATTCCACGGTCTTTGTGCTCCCTTCATGGTACAGAATGTGATCTCAGTTGCGTTGCCTCAACGCAACATCTCCGACTCAACTGCATTTAAGACCCGGAGCTCATCACGGCTCCTCGAGCCGTGATGAGCTCGAGGTCTCCACAGCGACATGGTAACCCACAATACCTATTAAAGCATTCATAACCAGAGCACAATGAGATGTAACACAATTTGACACGTATGCATTCAAGACTGACCATCATTTGAGCTCGTTAACCTACCTTCTGTTCTTGATTTAAGCTCTTCATTTGCTTCTGTAGGTTTGACTAAGAGTATCTACGTCTACGAAAAAAAGTTTAAAGCTACTTTTGCTTTTGTAATCTTTGGATGCATTTTAATGAAAACGACCAAAAATTGACTGTGATACGTTTGTATCACAGTCATTTCCAATGTGATAACACCTGGTTGTGGTATAACATGCACATTGGCAGCTGGTATACAGCCAAAAGGTACCGTACGTGGATGTACTGCTCTAATATATGACCTCCAGATAAACGGCATTCTGTTCTAAACGGTTTGCTTCCAGTCCTGAAAGTTTGTTACAAAACGATAGTTTGGTGAAAGTTCTTCACAAAATATGAGGCATCAATCTTCAAAAATTGAGGCGGCTTTGCAGTCGTCAGTTGTGAATAAAAAGTACAATCCCTAGCTCATCGTTCGTGTGTTAGAAGTACGCGACCATTCATATCCGCTTGAAACTGAAATGATATTTAACCTGAATCGTCAAATCACTGTACATGGGATATTGAATATATTTAACTATTTTTTCTATAGACATCTGAGCTCACGTTTGGCTCCTACTGCAGATAATGATCAAACTAAAGTATTTCTTTAGAAAACGTCAAATATAATTGAGTCTCTTTGTAGTCTCAGCTGATTTCTGTTAGGTCTCCCTCAAAAGATGAACTTGCGGAATTAATACTGATCTTTATATACTCTTTCATAACATGTAAGATTCGCTGCTGAGCTGAGGCTCAAGCTCTGAAGTAAATGTACAATATATCCAGATTGCATTTCAGCTACTCATGATCACCTTATTCGGCGCTTCTCACCACTCTCCTTCTTCCTGTTGGTATAAGAATGTGTGGAAGATCACTTTATAGTTAGGCCGGAATGTCTGCAGTAGCTGCAAGTCCAAGAAGATTATTTTCGTAGAGAGAATGATCATGGCGGTATTTTCGAGAATTCTCAATGCTCTATCCCCAAGGGTCCAGTGTTTCCCGTTGTTTATCCGTTCTATCATGAATTGGTTCCCGAAATTGTTCCAAGACAGTGCTTCACAATCAATCTCTTCGCGCAGCTACGGGTACTCGGTTGATGGCTTTACGACACCGCCATGCACCAAGAATATTGATCGATGCCTTCGAAGCTCGGTGGATGTGCATAGTCCCAGCGACTATCTGTTTCCAAGTTCTTGCTACCTTGAAGATTTTCTACGGGACAGAAGAGATGATATTTCGGATGAAATCAGTAGCGGTAGAGATGATTGATCGGAAATGCATCTCATATGGCAGAAGGTATTGAATATTCAGCGTCATTTCAGTTTCTCTGTCAACAAAGTTTTGTTAGAAGCAATAGTATGATGTTCAAAGCACAACGCCAATCTTCATCGATTGGTTGTCTCCCCCATGTCTTCTAATTCCTCAGTTATTACAATTCTCCAAGTTGGAAGCGGGACTTACTCGACGACTCTTACTTCGACATCTGGACATCAACAATTCTGTTCATTTGATACATATACTTTCTTGGATTGTTCATTGTCTTCTGTTTCAATGTATGATTGAAAATTTTTCCTTCTTGTAATGAGGGAGTCTGTGATACATAAGAAGAACGTACATGACACTCCTCATCACTGCTCGCAAGATTGAGGCATTATATTGAAATGCATTAAACATGGCTTTTCTTACTCATTCGTAAATCTCGGATTGTGGTACAGGTAGAGAACAGATTCTTCCTTTCATCAACACACTAACTGCTTTCCTGCATACGGGTTGTGTAAAAACCGCGATCGTACTGAATTCGAAGACTGGATTCCTGGATTAAGGCCAGGACAGAAAATCTTGGATTTACCTCATCATAAGATTCATGGTCAAGACGGCTGAGGACCACGTTTGTCTATACATCTACTTCTGAGGATATTCTTCTGAGTTGATGGAATATTCTAAATATTCACATATTTTAATATCCATTCACTGGTGTGAGAAGTTCAGGATTACAATTTGCGATCTCTCGACCCTCTCTACTGAATCCTATTTTGTTGTGGGGCACATGTTTAATGCCATTCTTTTCCAGATTGGGGGAAGAAAGATTGATTTCATATTTCTAGAAAGTATTGGGGCTTCTTGTATGAATCTGAAAAGGCCATAGTTGCTGCCCACATCAATTTCTGAGGGATTGCAGGTTCATTTCAAGCTTATCACAATACAACACTGTGCATTTCCTGAGCCAAATTAATCAAGACTAACTAGTGAGTTTCCTTTTCTTCTTCTAAATGGATCATCTTTTCTATGAGTGCTCCCTGGGATGACACAAAATCAATAATGGTGAAAAGGGACAAGACACACTCCTTCTGGACCAGAGGAGTGCAAGCAGCACGTTTTTAGTTTTCAAGATCTTCACCATTTGCTCATCAGGATTCATCGCTTACTTTCGAACGAGTTTTAACCAGACTGGTCTGAATTTCATTTACAAGCTCTTGTTAATGTGGTTATCGGAAGATTTTTGTATGAACATCCCCGGATGGTTCAATTTGTTGGAAGCACTTTGTTCCTCCGTACCTCCATATATTCTCTTTCCAAATTTCCATATTCCACCCTTATTTCAAACTCTGCTAAAATCAAATAATTGAAATAATATTGAAATCTACAACCAGTATCATTATCTTATTGATTCTTTTGCTACTTTTGTATCTTGTTTCATTTAATGGAAACTTTTCATCTAATTTTAGGATTTAAAAAAAAGGAGGATATATTTGTCTCATTCTCCGTAGGATGTCAACTTGGTTTCTCCTAGCATCTTATCTGATACAAATCACAAGGATTTTTAGGATCAAACCCACCGAATACACTGTCCAGGATCTGACACTTCCAAACCATGGATGAAAGTCACGAATTGGCAGACACAATCTACATTTATACTTGCATCCGAGCTTGTCGGTCTCACATGATAACTAATCAGTACAGATTGGAGTAGAATAATTCGAACACTCAGGTATACAATTACCGCTGGGGCTTGCACAATTTACCTAATGGCATTCTAGCTATACACGGATTCAATCACGAGAAAGTTAGAAATAGGGCTGCACAAAAATCACATCATCTTCAGATTAGAATGGGGAGTTTTCCCCATTTTACGCAAGTTAGTTGAAATTCAATTATCTCTGACGTAAGCGTCTAGTTTACAGAAGGGTATAATGGCAAGAAAATATTCGTAAAGTCATAGATTTCCTACTGAAAAACATGAATCCATTAGAATATAAATTCTTTCTGAATTAAGATTAAAATACAGTAAAGTTCAATTATTTGATCTTATTGGAGGTCATAAATGAAGATGTGTATATATTTAATTATATATTGACTATGTCGAAATTCACACAATTACTACTGTATGCACAGTCTGGAAATTAGATTGGACTTGCATGAGAATTATCATGCTTTCTTACAACTTATTACTAGATTTACATACAAATCTAATCAAAGTGTATATATATATATATATATATAGTCGCTTTCTAGACAGAATGCATTGTTTGATTGCAAGATAAGGTTATCTATAGTACAAAATGATCCGGTTACATCTCGGTTTATCTCCTCTAATATACCGGATACTTAAACTAATGGTAAAACACATCACATACTAAATATATCTAGTAAACGGTTCAAAGCAGAGAGTGAGAGTCTATTCCTCTACCCCATACTAAACAGATCTAGTAACCGGTTCAAAGCAGAGAGTGAGAGGCTATTTCTCTACCCCATACTCAACATATCTACTAACCGGTTCAAAGTCAAGAGTGAGAGGCTATTCATCCACCCTGCCAAACTGTACAGCCGACGAAATCTCTCGTGTTAAATTCAACTTCCTTCCATGCGTTTGGTGTATACATCCACCAAGTAATTCATGAGGTCACAACCATCTGGACATTTCTTCTTGTTGTGCCTCTTCAGTTCATCAAACTTGTGAAGGCATTTCTTGACAAACTTATCATCAACATCTGCTCTCTTCGGATTGATCACAGCTGCAATCTTCCTCCAGTCAAGCATCTTGGAGACTTTTGAATCGTAAGCTCGTTTCTGCTCAACATTCTCTTTCTCTGATTTGATCGCCATGATCAACTGCAATGAATCCTGATCGCTCCAGAACAGCCTCTCTTCTTTGGTTGATGACGAAGCTATGTCCTGAAAATACAACAGATTAGGGATAATTATTGAACATAAATTACCTTATCCACACGTCTATTGAAACCTTTAATAACTCTCAGAATTTTATCCAATAATTAAGAATGAGGCTTCAATTAGAATTGTTATTTCCTAAAAAAAAGGTCTTACATATATTACATATTATTTCATAATGAAAATGAATAAGAAAATACTATTTGTATCTACAGATAGTAAACAGATCTAGCTAATCTAGAGCTCACCAACGAAGAGTCCATAGCTATGTATTTGAATGAAGCAAAGACAATATATATATCTATATCGAACAATTTAATTGTAAAATGATTGTACAATATCAATCATGATTCTAGTTCAAGCTTAACAGTGAACTATTTTACCTCAATAATCAAATACAAAGACAACTAGCGAAGTTGTATACAAAAAGTCTATAAACCTTGTTCGAGTGATTCAGGATTTAAAAGTAAAAGATAAAGTTTCCTCAAAATTCCTGTTTCCCGTATAAAGAAAAAAGATAAAAAACAGTTCAGAGCCTATCCAGGTCTTCAATGCCCTTCAATCTGATAAGCGAAATAATTTTAAGAACCAGAAATGAGAGGATGAAAAAATGAATTGTATCTAATATATCTGGATCACAAATGTCACACAATGTCAGTCTCAAAGTGTTGATGAACATATAACTTAAAATTTACAATTAAGTTTGTAAATTCTACTATCATTACTTTAAATTTGAAAGCGAAAAACATTCTCCATCTGGAGACCTCGGATTTTGAAACTTTCTCAGCATGAATGAGCCCTTAAGATTCCTGAACTCGTTAGCTGTTGTTGACATGGACCCTCATAATTTCAATATCTTCTCTTTCTATTGATGAATACAACAAAGAAACAATGAGTTTGATTTGATCATGGTTGTACCTTATAACTTCAGTGGATTTGTCATTCTCTTGTAATCATCATTGAAGATTCAGCATGACAGATGTATATATGATAGTATCCTGATCTTCACCAGGCCGAACTAGGACTAAATACAGTTAGTACATTATGTCAGAAATATTATGATATTTCTGACAGAGTACTTTCAAGTTTTTAATCAACTTTCGAAAAGTACAGCAATTCAAAGAGCTACTTAAGAAGAATTATCAAGTACCCAGGTAGGTCAAACGGGTATCGGCTATAAAAATATGAGATAACATCTTATAACAATTACTTTGATATGAAATCTAACATTCTTAGTTTATGCTAGATGTGCTATACTTATTGATAAGTATATAATCATAAATCACGAACAAAAACGTTTTTCAAAATCAACAGTTCAAGCGTATATGTTCTTTGATTAAAACCAGTAGCGTTAAGTTTAGTGTTCTTTATACACAACTTTACGAAAACTAAACCTCATTCCGGATTAAGGCAAACCAAACTTCAAAGGCTGTAAACATAAAAACAACCAATACAATCTTCAAATGTACAAGCTATCATGGAGAATGTTACATGGTTCTGATACCTTTGGACTGTTTCGAGGATGTTCACTCTCTCTTCCGGAATGATCGAGTGTCTTCGTGATCTGAAGCTCAGCTGCTTCCACAGACTTGAGAGCATTGTCACATGTGATTGCTTTCTCCATCTCAACTGTTTCACCAGAATTATGAGTATGGTCGGATATCTGATGAACAATAACTTGGGAACTCGTGGAATCATTGGACACAATCCTTTTCTTCCAATGAAAAGGAACCCCGGAAGTGGTTTTCCCTTTTCCTCGTGTCTGTGTTGTATTCTTTTTCTCATTAGCTTTCTGAATTCTCGCCATACGCTTTGCTTCCATCTTGGATTTCTTGTACGCTTCTTCAAATGCTCTCAGCTTCTCCAAGTTGCCCGAATCTCTCCAGCGCTGACACTGCTTAGCCAGTACTGACTGCTTGGTCTTGGCCATTTCAACTCTCTGTCGTTGTTGCTTCCCACAATCTTCGAGATTCCCACATGACTTTCTTAGAAACGATGCACTAAAGTTGTGTATCAGGAAAATTCAACACGAAGTACATAATCTAGAGAATCATGAAGTACACCTAGACATTTGATCTTAAATTTCATCTTATAAAGGAAATTCTGGAATTGAGAGATATTTCTAAACCCTGTTGGCATGCAAATTTGATTCATCACGCCTGTATTCTCTGACACTAGAAATCTAAAGCGTTGAGATATGGGAAGAAAATTTTGTCTTACAAAAATCATCTGATCCAGTATAAAAATTTCAGTACACGCTAGGGGACTGCGAACAAAATTTTGTAATATAGGAGCTTACTCGTTACATCTAAAACTACAATGTGACTGCAGATAAAGCTACGTTTGAAGAATATAGTCAAGAAGAGTAAGAATAAGACTTTCCTAGTCATTTGATAAGAATTCCTGTCAACGAAATGATGCAGAAATAACTTCAACATCAAAATTCTTCCTTGATAAAAAAACCAAGGTCCTGTGAATGTTTACAGTGCACAACGACCTAACGATCTGAAGGGTGCTCCCTCTCGAGAGGTGAGGTTGAAGAATTAATACATAAACTAAGTTGCCTAAGAAGTTCATGTGAGGTCATAATCCAAACAACAAACGGAAATTCCTTCACATTTGTGGTAGAAGTTCGTGTTAGACACATAAGTAGAAAGTGCGTAGAGAATTCCTGAAGGGATACTGTGCACAAAACCCACTGAAAACTTCTTCCTTGACTGAATAGGTTATTGTGAAGGATATAAACACAACACACTGAATATTTTTCCTGCATTTGACTAGGATGTATACATGAAGGATTAAATCACCCAAAAAACTGAAAAACTTATTTCTCAATCCTGGACTTAGTGCGTGTGAAGGATATAAGCACAACAAGCTGAACATTACCCATGGAAGAGACTCAGAAATTCACGTGAAGTATATAATACAGACAGAACTGAAGACTTCTTCCAGAATTGCGTATGGAGGTTGTCTGAAGGAAGTAAAGCGCGAAGGGCTCAAAATGTCTGTCAATGTTAACTACTGTTGATTTCAAGCCTACTTGCATATGGGAGTCATTTCATGCATGTATATTATCTATATGCTCTTTATGCCTCACGCAACACATTCCTGGATAAGTTGGACTGCGAGCATGCATGAAAATTCTGAAGATAGAGAAGATGTTGAAGAATATACTAAACTGTCAAAGATTTTGTAGATTTCAGTTTGCTTTCTGAAAATGTCAGTAGAAAACAGATGCAATTCTAATGATAATATATTCTAACAAAGGGAAAAATCTCTTCCCGAAAAGAAGTTTCAGGATGTGAATCTCGTACCACTTGTATTCTCGGTATGAGTATGCAGAGAAACTCTTGCAGAGCTCAAAACAACTTCCGCAATTGCGTAAGAAGTTCGTTTTGAAGGAATTGTTGCACAACGAGCTCAAACAACTTCCGCAATTGCTTCAGATGTTCGGTTATGGACATATGCAAGACACAGTCAAAACTATTTCAGCTGTTGAGCAAAAAGTTTGCTGAACGATAATGCTGCATAACGTGATGAAATTTTTTTCAACAAATGCTTCAGAATTCAGATGACAGATTTTACGCAAACGGAGCTCAAATACTCTCAAAGCTTCTCTCGTGAGACAAAAATGTGGAGTACATAACGCACAACAAGCTACAGACAACTTCAGAAATTGCAGAAGAAGCTCGGTGAAGAAAGTATAGCGGAACAACTCCAAGCTACAGACAATTTCAGAAATTGCAGAAGAAGCTCGGTGAAGAAGGTAATGCGAAACAACTCCGGCGATTGCAGAAGACGTCTGTCTGAGAAGAACAATGCACAGTGAGACTGATGCGCACGCGATATAAAGAACTCGAAGGTACTCGCGCTGAAACTGAGAGGAGGTGGGAGTGACGGGAGACGTTCATCTACTTGCTCCACTGGCGGAACAACGAATGGACAAGTAGATATCCAACCCAAGCATTGCCAGCCCAGCTATCGGCTGGGCAATTTTTTCGTGCTGAGTCTGCTTCACATTCCACTCACGATAGTTGGAAAAGTTGCCAGTAGATGAAATTTCACTATCAGCACATGTCTCATGGGGAGTTGTTACACTGCATCATCATCACAACCACGCTGAAGGCAAATGGATGGTCTCACACGCAATTCTTATATATATATCGGGGAAGTATTGCACGTTCACACCACTTCAATCAATAAGCCTGATTGACATGTCTCGATCCCATTCATTGTCTCATAGTTACTTGTGCAACTTGACCATTGCAAGTTGTCCCGTAGTACCATAATGTTGATCTTGACAACTGAGAGAAGAAATTCATTGTAAAGAATCTTGCATTTGTGAATAATTGTAGATATACAAGTTATAGGTTTTTTGTCCAAAAGTCAGTAGTTGATAATTCGTTGTCAAGAGAGTAGAGGAGTTTAACACAAAGACTGTGGGTGCGAGTTACAATTCTTTTATAGCTCTCGACAGTTGCAGTGATCAAATCTATCACAAAACGGAGTCAGTTAGTAAAACAAGACACTCCAATAACAGTTCGCTTGAGTTCATGTATCGAATTACAGAATGTTGTTAGATTGGATGATATGATAATCTTACAAGTCGAGAAATGGAGAGATGATACTTGAAGTTCTTTCTTAGCAGCCATTGATCTATCCACTCTTCCAAAGTCATCCAATCATTTTCACAAATTTCCAATTGCAGTCAACGGTGAGGTAAGTCTCTATATGAACAACAAACAAATAGTACAATCATTTGATGGAATAGTCAAAAGAGAGTGAGAGTACAAAACTTGTTGTCATTCTAAACGACTAAAAAAACTAGCTATGATTTGTTATTTAGACGTACTTGATTACGTTATAAGAATACTAATTGTACCTTTGTAAAAGTCCAAGAATCCATTAACCGAAGGATTGATAGGAATTGAGTACGCAAGAACTCCTTGAGATAAAGCAATGATAGAATATTGGAAAATTGAAAATGTGAAGATTGGCAAATCTTAAAAATATTAGCTCATATATGTCAATTTTTGGTAAAAAATAAAATAAAATCTTCTAATTTTCTTCAAGAATGATTTAGGTTCAAATTGTTGACTTCATGAAGTTTTTTTCAAGATTTCAAACGGTATAAACATCTTTTCAACATGAAAATAATCAATAGTTAGATTTCTAAACATAAATTCATTTTCAAATTTGATCCGAAAGCTATCAAAGAATACTAGAAAGAAATTCGAATATATTTTGCAAATATATTAATATCTTTGACTTTAGTTATAAAGATTTAAGAATAGTATGAGATTGTATCAAAAATTCAGTTTACTTTGTAGAACTAAGCTACTACTTTCACAATAAACATGAAAATTTGTCTTTGAACTTATCTTCACTTCTCTATAGCTAATCATCAACTATTGTTGCACTTTGAGTCAATTAGATGATTATGATTTTCATAAATCTAATTGCTTATGTTGGTATAAAAAATATTGCAAGAAACTAACTCAGTGATCAAAAGGAAGATTTAGCAAATTTTTTTTGTAATAACCCACTAAAGGCTAAAATTGCAATATAGTGGTAGAAAGGTCGAACCCACAGGGACAGAGGAACACACAGGGTACAAAGTGTCACGTTTTAACAGACTATTGAGGAGTTTGAATTCTCAAGCGACTGTCACTCCCATAAATACTGCAAGTGTCCACTCGGAGCGCACTCGGAGGTCGCACAGTGCAGCGTAACACACACACACACACCTGAAACTACAGAAACATAACCCAGAGATCCGTTAGGACCTCTACTCACGATTTCAGGGGGGGAAAAGTCTCTCAAGAGTCACTCAGCGAAGCTGCGGGTAGTGACTCCCAACTCCGGCTTTTACAACACTTCCACTAGCTTGCTACTAGTGTAGGAAACCCGGGTTAGACTGCCTACTTTGGATCGAAGTCACTCATACGCGGTGAACAACACTCTCAACTCACAAAACACGCAGAGAACACAGGTCCGCACTTAAGGACTCACTGTGAAACATTCCAGTAACCCAACAACAATCTATTGAAGAGTTTGAATTCTTAGGCACTTGTCATTCCCAGAAATACTACAGGGGTTACCCTGAAGGCACCTGCTGCAGCGTAACCTGAATTTACAACTAAAGCTTACACGAAGTAACAAAACTTCACTTTGGCATTTAGGGGAAAAATCCCGAAGGAGTACAACCAAAAACAAAGACTCGAAGGTGTAGGGGCGAAACTATTCAAGTATCTAACTAGTCATTGGCTTTGAGCATCGGCAGTCACCCGCAAGTGTAGATCCGAACTACTCAAGTCTCTAACCAATGTACTAGCTCTGAACATTCGGCCAAAGGCCTTCAGCTACACAATGCGGAACGCTAAGGTGTAGCTCCTCGTGCGTGGTGACAGAACTAAGGACACAAACACGCAGAGAAAATGAGTTCCTGATCTGTACTTCTGAAATTGGGAAAGAACCCAAGGCAAGACGCCTTGAACTATTTTATACCGTCTAAATCCTAACTAGCACTACACTTCACTACGCTACACGCCAGCACGGAACCACGCTACACTACACTCCGCTGAACCAGTGCTACGTCTCCTGCGCGACGGATTGCCGCGCACTAACTCCCTGCCCTGCCAGTCTTCCGCTCGACTGCGCAGTCCCAACCGCTGCAACTCCGCGGACACCTCCACCTCGAGGGTGGACATGGTATCCCGCGCCTTCGACAGAAAGCACTCCAACTTCTTCGCCACCTTCCGCCGACTCCTGCTGTCGCCTGCCAGCAACCCAGCTGCGCGAAGTTCAAACTCACGTAGTGTGAGTTTCTCCTGCGCCGCCACTTCCCAGTGGATGTAATAACCCACCAAAGGCTAAAACTGCAGTATGGTGGTAAAAAGATCGAACCCACAGGGACAGAGGCAACACACAGAGTAAAAGTGTCACGTTTAACAGACTTTTGTAGAGTTTGAATTCTAGGCGACTGTCACTCCCAGAAATACTGCAGTGCTCAACTCGGAGGCTCGACTCGAAGGAGGATCTCGACTCGGAGGATGCTCGGAGGATGCACGGTACAGTGGTGCACGTGTTGAGTGTACGTGGTCACTCAACACACACACACACACACACCTGAAACTGGCAAAAAGCACAACTCGGAGGTCGGTCAGGACCTCCGCTTCGGATTTCAGGAGGAAAGTGTCTCAAAAGTTCACTCAGAGGTTCTGCAGGTAGTGCCTCCCACTCCGGCTTTTACTGCCCTTCCGCCAGGAACTAGCGTAGGGTACCCGGACTGGACTTCCCACTTCGGAACGAAGCCTCTTCATACGCCGTGGACGTCACCCTCGACTCTCACACCAAACGCAGGGAGTGCAGACCCGACTGAGAACTTAACTGAGACACGATCCAGTAACACACACACAACCTGAATTGCAAACCAAGGCTTACACGAAGTAATAAAACTTCACATTGGCATTCAGGGGAAACTTCCCGTAGGAGTACAATCAGGATATGTCACGCGAAGGAGTAAGGGGGAACTGTTCAAGTCTCTAACTCGCAGCCGGCTCTGAGCATCAGAAATCACCCGCAGGTGCAGATCCGCACTACTCAAGTCTCTAACCGGGTGCTAGCTCTGAACATTCAGCCGAAGGCCTTCAACTACAACATACGGTAACTTCGCTATGCTGCAGTTTCTCTACGTGGTGCCAGGACCAAAATGCACAAACACGCCAAGAAAGTGAGTTCCTGATCTGTACTTCCGAAACTGGAAGAGTCCCAAGGCAAAACGCCTTGATCTATCTTATACCCTAAAAGATCCTAACTAGCACTACGCTATCCTATCTACTACTCGCAACATCTGCGCGAAACCAAACTATACTACTGCACTCGGCGGATCCGGTGCTGCGCCTCCTGCGCGCCGGACTGCTCCGCTCGCTGTCTCTTCCTTGCCAGTCTTCCGACCGGCTGCGCAACCCCAGGCGTCGGAGCGCTGCAGTGACTTCCGACTCTAAGTGCGCCATAGTGTCGCGCGCACCCGACAAGAAGGTTTCTAATTTCCTCGCCACTCGCCGCCGACTCCGACTGTCACCCTCCGTCAATGCCGCCGCCCGAAGCTCGAACTCCCTGAGTGTGATCTTCTCTTGAGCTGCCACCTCCCAATGGGCGTATCCTTTTAGACAATGAGTCACCCGCGTCGCCAACTCTTCTCGCGCCCTGCAGCTGCCTTCCACCTCTGCTAGCTGCATTTCCGCTTCCGCACGCTGCGCCCTCAAATCCGAGCACTCGGATTGCAAGTTGCGCAACAACTCCTCATCCTCCTTGCGGGCTCTTTGACTTTCTTCTAAGGCGCGCGTCTGGCGCGCAAGCTCGGCTGCTAGGACGTGGTTTTGTCTCCGCTCTTCCTGCAATTCCGACTCGATCTTTGCCCGCATTAGCTCGGCATCCGCCTGACTTTTCGTCGCCGCATCCTCCCTCTGCTGCTGCAAGGCTTGGTATAGCTTCTGTGTGACCGCCAGGTGTTGTCGGAGGGCGGTGTTCCTATCCACATATACTTGGCACCTAGAGGCCCAAATGGCCACTTTGCTCCTCGTCCTTCGCTTGATAGTCTCCACATAAGACTGCGGTTTTCCAGTACCCGCGTACTTGGATGTCTTGCGATCCAGATATCGCAGGAGTGGGACTATCTGTTCGCACAACACCCCTGTTGGCGTTTTCTGTACAGAATCCGCTTCCTGCTCTTCCGAGCTCGTCTCATCCTCAGTCTCGAGGATTTCAGTCGCCACCGAATCCCTTGGCGACTCCCTGGAACTGTGGCGCGCAGCAGCTTCCGCTGCGACTGCTACTCCACTGCCTGCTAAAATATCCAGGGCAGTGGGAGATCCCACTGCTTGAGCCCCTGTTCCGGCTCGATCTTCGGTCTCCGAAGGGGTCGACGCCGCAGTGACTCTTGTCACCTTTGCACCGCCCGCTTCTGCTGCCTGCCCTTCCGGCGCAATCTGCGCGGAAGGTGTCTTCGCTGAAGGTGCGTCCGCCGAAGGCGTCCGCACACTGGTCGTCGGCCCTGTCCGTCTCGCAGTCGGCGAATCCGGCCGACTCTCTG